ACCCGGAGAGCCCAATGCCCCTTAATTAAGGAATAGACCTTAAATCATAATATGAAAAAGCCCCCTGTAATTTAAGGTATATTTCCTCCCAAATGGCCTACCAACCCTAAACCCTAAACCCTAAACCCCTAAACCCTAAACCCCTAAACGCTAAAAAATAAACCCTAAACCCTAAAAAATAAACCCTGAACCCTAAACCCTAAAACATAAACCCTAAACCCTAAACCCTAAAACAATAGAAACCCTAAACCCTAAACCGAGGGACTTGTGCCGGCTTCCATGTGGATGGAGACATTCGGGGGCAGCAAAGGTTGAGCCTCCAAAATTGGGAACCTCGGTTCGCCAGTAAGTCCCTTCATGATAGGGGTACCGTTTAGGGTTTTGGGTTTAGGGGGTTTTGGGTTTTGGGTTTAAGGGTTTAGGGGTTTGGGTTTAGGGTTTAGGGTTTAGGGGTTTAGGGTTTAGGGTTTAGGGTTTAGAGTTCAGGGGTTTGGGGTTTAAGGGTTTAGGGTTTAGGGGTTTAGGGTTTAGGGTTTTAGGGTTTCCCTGCTATTTGGTTTTGATAAGGGAACCCACCAAAGAAAAAGGGGCAAAAGGGTACCTACTTGGGAACCCAGGAACGCTGCTTCCGCGATTTCAAGCGAACCGTTGGCGCTGCTCGTCTGGTTCGCAACTCCTTGGCTCTGAGTTAGGGTTTGGGGTTTAGGGTTTAGGGTTTAGGGTTTAGGGTTTAGGGTTTAGGGTTTAGGGTTTAACAAACCTACGCTGCTGCAGAGAAATACAAAATTTCGCGCGAAGAGTGCCAATAAACTAAAGGAGCCGCAGCTCCAAAAACAAAAGTGGCCAAAGGGGGCCGTAATGAAGGGGCCTTAATAATTAGAATAGGGTTTTTGGTGTATATTATACTATCACTACAATATAAGGAACCCCCCAAAAAAAATAGTATAGGCAATTCTTTAGGCCCCTATATTACTCCAGATCCCGTAGGTCCCAGGCTCTTCGGCCCTTGCCCTAAACCCCTAAACCCTAAACCCTAAACCCTAAACCCTAAACCCTAAACCCTAAACCCCTAACCCCTAACCCGAAACTCCCACAGCCTAAACTCCAAAAGCCTAAGCCCCCAAGCCATAAACTCCAAATCCCCCCGCCTAAAGTCCAGATCCCAGGCCCAAAACCCTAAACAGTAAACCCTAAACCCTAAACCCTAAACCCTAAACCACTCCCTAAACCCTAAACCCTAAACCCTAGACCCTAAACCCTCAACCCTAAACCCGAACATCCAGAGAGCCCCATACCCCTTAATTAAGCAACATACCTTAAATCATAACATGAAGCCCCTTAAAGTTTAAGGTATATTGCTTAATTAAGGGGTGGGCGGTAAACCCCAAGCCATTGCAGATCCTAGGCTCTTAGGCCCTTACCCTGGTCCCGAGAGGAGCTCTGACTCTGGTTCCCTGCACTCAGGTTTCCCTGCCGGAGGTTCCGACTCACCTGGAGGGGATTTTTTGGGGGGGATTCAAGGTTGATAGGGTTTGGGGCTTAGGTTTGTAGGGTTTGGGGTTTAGGATTTCGGGGTTTAGGGTTTAGGGTGGGTTTAGGTTCCTGGGGTTTGGGATTTAGGGGTCTAGGGCCTTATCAACCCTAAACCGTAAACCCTAAACCCCTATAAACCCCTAAACCCTAAACCCTATAAACCTCTATAAACCCTATAAACCCCAAAACCCTAAACCCTATAAACCCCTAAACCCGAAACCCTATACGGTTTAGGGTTTAAAGGGGTTCGAGGAGGACCTGACTTCGGGGCCTTTTCTCACGAGAACCCTGGTGCTGTTCTCCAGGGTGGGAAGTCTAGGGGGGCTCTTGTGGAGGGGTCCTTTTAGGGTTTAGGGTTTAAGGTTTCGGATTTAGGGCTTAGGGCTTAGGGTATAGGGCCTAGGGTTTGGGGCTTAGGGTTTAGGGTTTAAGGCTTAGGGTTCAGGCATTAGGGTTTAGGGTTTAGGGCTTAGGGTTCAGGGTTTAGGGTTTGGGGTTTAGGGTGGGTCCTTATCAGGAGGCTTCCGGTCAGCACTTAAGATCGGGACGGCAATCATTAGACCAGTACCTCTTAGACATTGGAGTTCCCGAATATGGCCTGCAACGCAGTATACCCCAAAGATCCCATGCGACAAAGGCCCCTAAACCATATAACCCCGACAGTAGCCCTTGAAGCATCTCCTTTCAGAGCAAGCCCTTAAAGGAACCGTTGCACCTGAGTGTTCAAGTCTCCAGTCACAGTCTGGCTCAGGACCACGCATAGCAATGCAGACCAACGAGGCACCATTGCGCTAACTGGCTCTGAAAAAGCACCGGAGGCTACCTTTGATCTGAAGTGGCCGCCAGGAAATCGGGCGAGTGTGGTCCTACGGAACATAAAGCAGCTTCAAGAGACCCCCTATAGGAATTTAGGGTTTAGGGCCCCATGAACCAAGCTCAAGACAAAACACTGTGGTGTCAGTGCCGATACAGGGTCACGTCCCTAACACCTCCTCGCAGGCATGCTGCCAACGTTGTGAGTAATGTGGGCCTAGGGTTTGGGGTTTGGGGTTTGGGGTTTGGGGTTTAGGGTTTAGGGTCTACTTGAAGGATCATGGGGCTTAGTAAGTATGGTTATAAGTACCCTAATTGGTGTTATAAGTAGTTATAAGTATAGTAATAACCTTAGTTACTAAGTCCCATGACAATGATCCTCCAAGTATGACAAAGGAGCCTCGCCGAGTCGGGCTTTAGGGCTTTAGGGCTTTAGGGTTCAGGGCTTTAGGGCTTTAGGGGTTTAGGGTTTAGGGTTTAGGGCTTTGGGGGTTTAAGATTTAGGGTTTAGGGCTTATCGGGTTATAGGGTTAAGGGTTTAAGGTTCCCTTCTAGGGTTCTTTAAGGGTCGTTATCTGTAGGGCTCTTATCGGTTGTTTTAGGTAAGGGCCTTACTAAATATGTAGTGGGGTTTTGGGATGTATCGGGATGTATCATACTGTAATTCTACAGGCGCTATGGTGGTTCTGATGATGAGGGTGATAATTTCGAGTGGTTGGCACTCCTCTTACCTTCTGTCTGCAAGACATGCCCCTCCTGAGCATGGCTCGCGAAATCAACAGGCCAGCACCAGCATTGAAATACCTTTTCATCTGCGGCTCTCAAGGAGGTAGCTATTCGTGCAGGATATCGCATGGAAAACCTTTGAGGATACCCGTCTCTTCAAGAAAATCGCTCAGGGATACGCACCTGCACTCTTAAATCGAATTTGGTGACACTGAGTCGCGATAACATGAGGCCAGATGTCACTCAAGTTTGATGTGCAACGGTGCGCTGTAGAATGCCAAACACAAAAACCCTAAACCCTAAACCTAAACACTAAGACCCTAAACCCTGACAAGACACACAACTTGCAGTGCACACATGACTTCAGGGTGGCTGCAGGTATGCCCGACCAGTTCCGGAGGCATACCTGGAGTATCACAAAGCTGAAGTGAGATCAACAAAAACTATCCGCATCAAACGCGCCAAGGCATGCACAAAGAGCATGCAGGTTACAGGCGTCACTATCCGGATATGCTGCGTCAAAAAAGCGGTGTGGCGGCTCATCCGCCAATGCAACTACACATTGCATGTTCACAATAAGCTCTGCGACTCATGTAGGGGCCTCGCCAACTAGAATATCTTAATAATTAAGGTTTTGGGGTTCTTTTTATAATTATAATAGTAGAACATACCCCCAAACCCTGTTCTGATTACCAAGGCCCCGTATAGCGAGCTAGAGTCTCTTGCGCAGGGCTCGGCATACGCGCGGAAAGATGCAAACTATTCGGTTTAGGGGTTTAGGGTTTAGGGTTTAGGGTTTAGGGTTCAGGGTTTAGGGTTTAGGGTTTAGGGTTTAGGGTTTAGGGTTTAGGGGCTGTCACTTGGTACCCAGCTTCGCATGAAAGTCCTGAACCCGAAACCCTAAACCCTAGACCCCAAAACCCTAAATCCTCACTGTGACCCAGCCACGCGAGAGTTGTGAGACCCTCTGACAGGCTTCCACTCTTCCTTCGAAGGCCTCGCGCAAGAACTCTGGCGCGGAATGCCCTTGTAAGAAGTCCGCTGCAGTCCTTACTTCCCCAGTAGGCCACGCAAACTTTCAGGCTACTACTCAACTCTAAAACCCAAAAAATTTCAAGGTTGGTGGCATTGGAGAAGTAACTACTTGGAGGATCATGGGACTTAGTAAGTATGGTGATAAGTACCCTAATTGGGGTTATAAGTAGGTATACGTATAGCTACCCTAATAACAACCTTAGTTACTAAGTCCCATGATCCGTTAAGTATCCTAAACCCTAAACCCTAAACCTTAGTTACTAAGTCCCATGATCCTTTAAGTAAGATAGGAGTCCATCCCCTCGAGTTCCGTGGAGTCAGATCTGCTCCTGCAGCAATCAAAGCTGCAGCGCATTCGTGCGCTCCAGTCAGCAAGGCGATCATCAAAGGAGTCGCGCCTTTTGCGTGGTATAAGATCTTGCTTACCATGGTGACCTTGCCAAGGCGGTGTTGCAGGACCTTCACTTTGTATAATGTCCGAATCATTGCCGTGCGCTTCCAGTGTTCATCTGTCTGTGCATTCAGGCTTGCCCTCATTTCGAGCAGTCGGTGCACCACATCAGCACTCCCGCCCCCCATCGCTGCATTATAGAGGGCAGAAGTTGGATTGAGGGCACTTGCAGTGCTCTGAGAAAGAAGCTCATCTATGGCTTCCAATGCTCCATGATAGGCAGCACCATCCATGACGCTAATGCCAAAGACATTCGTTTGAGCCGGACTGCACCCAGCCTGGCAGAGAATCTGGATGGCTTCCGTGTTGTTTGCGTGGGCTGCGCAGTTGAAAGGGCCACGGACGAACATGCGACTTGCAACTCGTGCTTTTGCGGAGAGGAGAAGCTTCGCGGCCTCATTGTTCTTGAAGATGCAAGCAATGGACAAAGGCGGAGTCCCGGCAGGCTGTCCGATGGCCGGGTGGACTTTCTTGCTTCCTTGGTTCGGGTCTGCCTGGATCTTAAGCAGATCTTCCACCAGCAAGGGGTCCCCTTTCAGGGCGGCGTAGTGAAGAGGGGACCAGCCCCCGGAGTCGATCTCCCTCACGCTGCGGAAGCCGTTCTGCTGGAAGAAGGTGGTAACGAGGGAGGAGTCCCCCAAATCCAAGGCAAACGGGTCGTCTTCGAAGTCCAAGAAGGGCTCGGCGGCCTGACGATTCATTCCCCTGAGCAACATGTGCTGCTGGTTCAAGAGCGCACGGTACCCCGGCAAGTCCTGGTCTTTGAGCAAGCGAAGCATTCGGCGTTTCAGTGCTGCCACGAGAACTGGTCCAAGCTTCAAGCGATCCTGCGGCACAGTGAAGACGCCCTCACCCACCGGACCACATCCGGCGCGAAGGAATGCACAAGTACCTGCTATGAGCTCAACGTCCTTGGGGCTTTTCACCATGATACAGGAGTGTTGCTGAGACAGTTCTCCGCAAGTTCTCTCAAGGCGACACCATCCTCGGGACTGCCAAGTCAGAGGCGTGATCAAGTTGCAGGTGTGCGGATTTTCTAAGACAGGCACAAGCGCGAAAAAGAAGGAGCTCTCTTGCACATAGGCTGGTATGCTGTTGATGGCATTCAACAGCTTGCTTCCAGACTCGCCCTCAGGAGAGAAAAGTGATGTCATGCTTCGACTCAACCGATCTTTCTGCGGGCAGGAGAAATAGTCATACCAGAAAAACAACGGTTCGGACAGAAGCCTTGATGTTGGCAGGGGCTTTATATGTCCTTCTGCGGCTTCAGAAGCAAGTTCCACAGGTATGCTCTGCAGGTTGCCATTCTTCATTTCCCTGAGTGCCTCCTGCAACACCCTCATCTGCTTGAACTCCGGGTCGGGGTGGTCAGAGCCGACCCACTGGTGCGAAACAAACGCGGCGTTGCCCATGGGCCTTTGAAAGTCCACCAGCATGTCTTTGGCCTTCAGCACTTCGTGAGGCTCGACCTTGGTCATCTCCATCAAAGTGTGCAAAGGCACCGTGTACATGGGGAAATGCATGGGAACAGCATCGGCTCGGCTGGTCTGCAAGGATTTCGCATATTGGGCCAGAGGAGTCAATGAGGTACCGCTGCATGCCATGGCACCACGGCGTCAAGGGTAGGAACGGCTTCCCTTTCAGGAGCCCACCTCTAAAACTGAAACACTGCGCCTTCCCCTTTGGGGGTCGGAAAGCGTGAGCCTGCAAAACTCTCTCCGGCCAACAACACCTTGCGCAACGATTATACTGCATACTGTTGATGATATAAACCCTGCATTACCTCAAGGACCCTAGACTTTGGGAATTATGGTATTTCCTTATTATGGGTAATGCAGGATTGATATCATCAACCGTATTACTAATCGTCCATTCTAGTATACATTAGTAAGCTAAGTAACCCAATTGACAAGACACGGTAACTTAAGGAACCCATGCTGCTTCCACTAATAGACGGGCCCTTGTACTTGTATCATATTGAAGTTACATAGGGAATGTAATGGCACATGTTTACTAGTTACTCAGACCCTTGTTTTCCACTACTCTGGCTTGAGGCGGCTGACTGAGCCTTAGCACACGGTTTGCATTGCAAGAACGACCATACACTAAGCACAGCTCCGCTTCACAAGTGGCTGTGTCCATGCTGGGGTAAACTCTCTTCTTCAACAACCAGGCCCAAAAAGTTCAAACTTTTTAGGATAGACCTAATATACAAAGCCAAAAAGTTTAAAGTTCTCCCATTGGCTATCTAAGTAAAGGTTCGGCACCACAAAGAAACAGTCCGAAATGGAGTCTATCACGAGAGCAGCCCAGCCAAGATCAGGGTTTAGGCGGCAGGCTTTATGGTTTAGGGTTTAGGGGGCTAATCATCTGAAGCCTCAGCGCAGCAGGGTGACCTTGCAAAGCCCAGTGGAAGCTCACGACTCAGCAAGAGAGCCCGAATAATAATGACAATAATACTAATGATAACGGTCATAGCAATCATAATCATCATCACCATCATCATCATCATCATCATCACCAGAATCACAATAACGGCAATACTCATAGTGACAATAACAATAGTGATAACAATGATGACAACAATAATAACAATCGTAAGAATAATAACAGTAATAATAGCATTAACCCTAAACCCTAAACCCTAAACCCTGAACCCTAAACCCTAAACATACTAGTGCTACTACTCCAAAACCTGGCTTTCGTGTGGCCTGCTTCCAGGTCTGCAGCGAAGGATTGCCTGGATACGCAGGCGAAAGACTCATGGGAAGGGACTTTTTTAAGGGCCCTTTTTAAAAGGATGCCGTTTAGGGTTTAGGGTTTATAGGGTTTAGGGTTTATAGGGTTTAAGGTTTAGGGCCGTTTAGGGTTTAGGGTACTACTTTTGGGACCTGGAAAGGGGCCGTAGTTTAGAGAACAACACGAGAACATCCTTATCAGTTGCCACGTTCGGGTGGCAATCGTTCTAATCGACCTGATAGACGGACGGAGTGCCCTGGAAACCTGCTAGATGAGCACATATCATACACTGTATCTCCTACACTGTGAAGGGACCCATGCTCCTGGAAGAGACCACAAAAGTCAAGGAGAGTTATTCCATCCCTTGAAACTCAACCCGACTGCCCACATACTACATCCATGCATTGTCGTGTAGTGCACTGCGGCGCACAGAATTCTGCGGTGCTCTCGGCATGTTTCGGCCGCAGCCTAGGCGGTCACCAGCAGAGGGTCTAGATCATCCAGCAAGAGTTCGTCGCGCTTTCAATACCTGTATGCCATGCTAGCCGGGGCAGATTGACATGGCCCTGGCAGCAGATCACGAAAAAAAGTCCAGCATCACATCATGCTGTGCAGCCACATACCTTTCGCCATGGCGTAGTCGCTGCAGCAATCGCGTCGTAGGACTTCAGGCCATCCAGTGGCGTCAGTGGCCCTCTTGTGATGGTCCACGGCATGGCAGCACACATGCTTGTCGCTGTTGATTGAGCCGCTGCCACGCTTTGTGAGAAGCTGCTCATAGCGGCAGCAGTCAGCTTCATCTTCGCTGTGTCGCAAACCGCCATGCAGATGAAGCCGGTGGTGAGCGCTTGCTGCTGAGGCTCCTCTGCAAGTATTCCCTTCCATAATTTCAGTATACTAGAACCCAACCCTATTCTAATGAATAAGACGCCTATATTCACCTCTGCAGGTATTCCCTTCCATAATTTTAGTATACCAGAACCCAAACCCTGTTCCAAAAAAGACCCCTATATATATATATATATAT